GTTACTCCAGTGTCATAGGCATATGTTGGTAATTAAGCTACATGTTGCTACCTCAGATAAATGTGTCGCCTAGAGGCAATTTAGTGCAAAATTTCATTTTCACTAAGTCAGAGTCAAAATCCATTAAAACCTCACAGGGGAAACCACAAAGGATTAGACTTGCTAGAAATTATGCACTTTTTATGATCAACAGAGGAAATAAGTGGGAGCAAACAGTTTTTTGTTCCTTCTTATTTTCATTGCTTCTCCAAAGAATTGCAAAGTGTTTCTGTTCACACTAAACCCCACAAACTTACAGCAGCCAAAGCCTACAAGAATACCAGGAAGCACTCAAAAAATCTAATGTTTAACAGGCACATTTGCCGGCTTTATCTTAGAGGATTTAGTGAAAAGAAGGGACATCATTTAAACTGTACTTATGTTTAAACCAAAATGGTAAGCAAATGAAACTTGGTGTCTCTCAAATTTAAGCAGAAATACAAGCAGTGAGTTCAGATTTTTTCTAAACAGAGTTCTGTAATACCTTAAAGGATGCTTCAGAGAATCAGCTAAGTGCAGGCCCATCATGACATTCAGGCTATAATGTCTTCTCTTTAGAGCCATTTTTGTTGCTGGCTCTCTCTGGTAGAGCCAAAGTGGCTTCTCAATAGGCTCATCAATGTTCATATATTTAGCCCTATTTTCTTCTCCACCCAGAAATGGCTGATGATGTTAGACAAGAGGGAATCTTCAAATATTCAATTAAGAAGTTAGATTTCTGGATTCTAACATGGTTTATGTTGATAAATGAGAACACTTTATTGTAATTTGCTTTTAAAGCCTGCAAATCTTTGAATTCCATGAAGCTCGTGTTCCATCATTCTTAAGGGTAGAACAAAAAAGCATTTATTCCCCTCAGGCTGTGACATTTGTAATTTTTCATTCAATAAGGCAGTCATAACGCTACACAAACCTTGATATTTTACATGAAACCTCTTTTTTCAAAGAGTCATACAGCATACATTTCAATGAGGCCATTTTAAATGCTATTTCTGTGAGGAATTTATTCAACAACACGTATGCACAGAAGCAAGCATGAATGCATGAATATATTTATTACTATTCAGTGGAACTATACAGCTTCTGCACAACAGTAATCGACACATATAAATGATGGACAGACTAAATTAAAAAACACCTAAAGGAGATATTTTCTCATTTTTTACTTGTTCAAGTTTTGCCAATGTGTAAGACTCTTTTGTGAATTATTTCATCTACATGAGGAAACGCCCTGCATTACAGTAGTAATGACTATCAGTTATTCATAAAAATATTCTGCACATCATTTGTTTTAGTGGAAAAAGTAAAATGAGCTGAAAATTATCCACATGTTGCTGTCTCCAGGGATTATCAAATTAGCTCTGATGGATTACATGCTTTACTCTTTCTGGCAGAAGAATTAAGCTGCTCAAAATTAAGCACTTTTTAGAAGAAGAAAAAAATCATATGGTAATGAAGTGATCTATTATAGAAACTGAACTTTCTTTTGTATAACGATCAAAAGTCATTGTTTAAAGTTTTAATTGATTTGAACCTTGTGTTTTAGCAGGAAGGACTCTAGTGACTAACAAAAAAAGTCAGATTCTGAATTCTGCTGTTTGGAATTGCTTTGCAACTCAGATTAAACTGTTATCTGATTTCAGTTGCACTACATTTTCCTTCTAAGAGGCCAAACTGTCTTCTTTTGTCCAAAGCAGAAGATTTGCAATTCCATTCTACGTATGTAATAACTTTGTGATTCCCAAAGATCCTTCAGCAACACCTGCCAGATCTCAGTGTAGTGTGAAGCGTTTCATGTTGACAAGTGTCCTGAGGCCTAAAATATATCCATGACAGAAGAACAGTACAGTATGTGAAAGTTCTGTCTGAGAAAAAGAGAATAAATAAATAAATAAATAAAAATAAACAACAATAACCAGACAGATTAATTGTGAAATGCATTATTTAGCCACTAAACTTGTGCTTGTTTTAGCAAACACGCTAAACCTTGTGGCTAAGTTTTTAGCCACTAGCTCTTTGAGAATGCCTTTGCTGTTGTTAAACTCCAGTTTTTTGCCAGTAGACCTGTTTTCTTAATACAGTTAGACTTTTTTTTTTAATGTAATAAATAGGAAAAAAAAAAACTGAAGGGGATATATATAAAGGCATCTAAAAATACAATTAAAAACTTGTGAATGACACATGTATGTATCATGGACAAGTGATAACATCTGATATCAACAAAGTGAAAATATTTGGATTTATGTTCTTTGATATATATAAAAATTGTATGTAATGGATGAATTAAATCTAAGAAGAAGAATACAAAAACCAGCAGAAAAATTACTCAAAATATTTAAAAACAAAACTCAAAGATGAAAAAAGCTTTACAAAAACTTGACATTATGACAAGACCCATTTCTGGTATTTAAATTTACTGCCCTAACCTTAGATAATCTAGTAATATTTACATACAATTACCCTGAAACACACCATTTCAATAATAATTTATCCTAGACCTTATGAGAATCAAGCTTTTGTGTTCAAATGTGAAACAGTATTGAGATTGCACAACTTTTTTAAACTATAAATTGAAACCAACTGGTAGGATTTTCTTTCACAGACTTGATATAATTGTTTCAATTTCACCTGAGCATTTAAATTGATAATGGAAATTGATTCTCAAATTGCCTCTCAATATAGATAAGCTTCTTAAAAATATTTTTGCATTCACAGTTTTGAGACCTGAACAATATTGTGTCTGAACAGAGCAAATGCTTCGGAAGATAGGACAACCATTTGAAGTGCTGCTTTTTATCTACCTGATCCTCAAATAATGATAGTTGTTTTCAACAGTTCAGACACAGAAGACTCTATCAGTAACTATGTAATCTACTGTTAATTTGTTAATTAACTGTTTTGTAAAAGTGTTTTTCTTGTCATGACTTTAATTTCTCTGTTGTTTTCATTTATTTCTGCCAAAGACAAAGACAGTTGTCATAGTTGTTTCACTGGAAAGTGACGATTCATAAATACGCAATGTCTTTGTTATGAAGTTTGTCATAAAATACCCTCTAGGCTTTTAATGGCTTTCAAATCCTAATGGCTTGAGGCATGAAGCTTTTTTACACTCAGTTAAAAATTTAGATGTTTTTCTATTATTCATGCCTCCTATGAGACTACATGATCCCATTAGCTTCAAATTCTGGCAGACCACATAAAGTGCCAACAAGCTGTTTGTAAAGAAACTTTGTAAATTCAAGTGCGTTTTGAAACTCCTTTATGACACATTATCAACAGCAGGCCTCTCAACAATGATAAACTCAGGGGGTTAAACAACTCATTTGGTTATATTTAGAACACCAAAACACATGCTTGCCAGTATGCAAATGTATTTCCTGGTTATAAAAATAAGCAGGATACACTGGGACACTGTAACATTTTTGTTGCTCCTTTAGGATTTTCATCTTTACATTGTACTCGTTTTATTCACATGTTTTGGGAACAGACGAAGGATTTAGGCTCATCTGAACCAATCAAGTAACTGCTTTACGTCTTTTGAAACCCTTTGTGGTTTCAAAACGTCTAAAACATCAGCAAAAATCTCGCAAAACTGGAAAACTACTAAAGACGCTTACTTCAATTACAAGGAGGGCAATATTTATTACCAGATGAGGAAATTACCAGTTGGTAAAGCTAAATGCATAGAAGCATCATTCTTTTATTACAACCCTGGATGTAACACTATATTTATAATATGAGTACTTAGAAAAACATGCAGTTGCAATAACACTGCTGTAGTAGATAGTATTTTATTTTTCGTAATTAAAATGCGCTCACTGTTTTCTTTGGGGTTTAGGTTCTCAGCATGTGCTTTAATGGCAATTATAGATCAAATATGTAATTGACATGCAAAGAGGCAATGCGTGGCTCTCAAAATATAAGGTCCAAATAAATATTGCAAACACGCAGTGTTTTGAATTGATATTGACATTGCAATGATGAATGCGATTTATCCTATTATGCAGCTCTATTTGTAATTAAATGATGGAAGCAAAGTAAACATTATTATGATACATGATATTATGTAAAACAGATTAACCTGCTACTGGAATAAATGAACCAGATGGAATTTTGGCACTGCACCTCACTGTAAAACTCACCTTGTCTCACTGGAACAGTAGAAAGAAAAAAAAAAAAAGGAACATACTTGACATACTCCACTGAGAAAGTTTGACACAAGCTGCAGATGCTAATATGGGCTTAGAACTGAAAATAATGGTTCCATTGAGTGGGTTCAGGATTTTCAGGATATTGAAATTGTTTTCTAACTTTTAAATGGAAACCTGAACTTCTGGGTTACTTTAACAAGAGAGCACAACCACTCCTTGTTCTCAGCTCGGAGCACACCGAGCTTCGAGTGCCACTTCATCCGCCTCACTCTTCTGCTCAAATGAATTCAGCGGCAGCATGACTCACTTGATTGAAGAACGAGACAAAAACAATTCCAGCTCATTTGACGCACGGTACCTGCGAGTTCACAAAGTCACACGTCACATGGCAAAGACTCATATATAATAAAGACAAAAGGCCTGGATGAAACCTGAGCTTGCCAGGCTCTTCTTTGTTACCATGACGACCAGCTGTCGTCTACAGTCCCCAGGTGAACAGAAAGGAGGCTCAGAGGACAAGTGGAAGACGACTCCGCCCACCGTGGGAATTCACAGATCCAGTGTGGCAGCTAAAGACTTCTATTAACTTGTACATGACAACACGAAATAAATGAGCAAAGACAAACTAATAAAACCTTGAAAGCTTCTTTTTTTAATTTTTCATATATATATTTTTCCAATCCCAATCCCACTTGGCCTTTCCAAAGAACCAGGTGAATGCAGTACTGCGTGTTTTGGCAGGTGTAAGAACAGGTTGAACAGGTTGTGAATGCCACTCTTTTACGCCCTCCTCCTTCTTTTACCCTCTTCTCTCTCCAGGACAACTGCTGATTCATTCTTACATATTGGCAGGTCAGCGGAGACATTTCGGTGCACCTGTTCTCATCTGACACAGCTTGAAAAATAAGGTAAGGATTCACAGAGGATACATTTTTATTTTAGCACCATATATGACACATGGGCTTAGAAAATCCTAACAGGGAAGGTTCAGGAAGTTAAAATCCTGAAACCATACCACAAAATTTTACAGAAAGAAATCATAATAGTTTAGATTATGTACCTAATTGTAAAACCTAGCTACTTTAAAATATGATATAAAAATAAACCACAAAGGTATAGATCATTTTGAGAAAGTTGATTTTAATGTTTTTAAACTGACAAATCTTTAATGAGTTTAATCAGTTGTTTATCTGATCATGTTTTTTTTGTATAAAAAGGAATAGCTATACTCTTCCCACCGTATAAAAAAGATAATAGGACTGTACAAACTGAAATGTTACTAATATAAGTATAAGTTAAAAGATGACAATAACATAGGAAAATCTTGAGCAGCTTAAATGTCACATAATTAGTGGTATTGGTCTTTGTGTGGTGGCTAAATGGTTTGCAGAGTATAGTGTTACCTTTAGCCACTGTGTGTTCTTTTGTTTATGTGAGACTGGATCTCTGGAAAGTTGAGGCTGACAGGGCTGCTGAGGCGATAGCTGCTACAGACTCTGACAATTCAGCAGAGTGGGAACTCTTTTCAACACAGGGCTCCTCTGAGCGTGACGGGTCAGAGGTAAACACGTCTCCTCCTGTCTCCCCTGACCTCTCAAAGGCTTGTTGGTGTGACGCTCATGGTCAAATATACTCTCAGAGCGGTGCCGAGGGAGGATGTGAGAATAACATGACGGAGAGGAAGTGACAGTGGTTCGGATTAAAACAACCCACATATGTGGGTGGCACAAGCTCAAAATATTGGTAAAGTTTGACTCTGACAGGTCTGAATCATAGCAGGTGACCTGTGGCATTTCTGGAACCAGTTTTAAAGCTTAAAATAAGGTTCTTGTATCATCAGAATTGTTTCCTGACTGACATCAAATTTATTTACATAGCCAAATCCGAACAAGTCAATATCTTCGCTGCGTCACCTGTTTGACTTGTTTTACAGTAACTGGTTTCATTTATAATCCAGGCCCGGCAGTGTAAACAGACAACTCAAAAGCAGAGACAAGGATTTATTATATATGTGTATAATTATATTTAGCATTAAAATAATACAAATACATTTGATGCAAATTTATTTAGCCACTTGTTTTGGAATACCTTAGCTTCTCATAGTTAAAAAAAACATGGTTTCTGTCACCAAAATTTTTGGTTTTGGCAAACATATATTATATTATATTACATTATATTACATTACATTATATTATATTATATATTATATTATATTATATTATATTATATTATATTATATTATATTATATTATATTATATTATATTATATTATATTATATCCAGTTAATTTTTTTCCTATGTTTTAGATTTTAAACTACAGGAGATTAAGTTTCATTTAAAAAAATAAATTGTGAAGTAATTGCTGTTAACTTTCGCACAAACTGGAAACTTTGAAGTCAACCTTAATGCTTCTAGTTGTAGACAGCTCGCTATCTGATGGGCATGGAAAGATGCTCTCACAAAATAAAGAGAGTGGATTATGTAAAATCAGCTTTTTTGAGCCGTATTTCATAATATAATGTTATTTCCTCATCAGAAACATGCCTGGAGTTTTATTTTTTATGCATATTTGAGGAATCCCTGAATTGAGAGGTGCCTAAGCGCATGCTCATATAAAGTGCCACCTACTTCCACAAACCTCCTGCTCAGGGCTGCAGTCTCCAGCCGAGTATCCGCCTTAGAGAACTCTCCTTAGCTACGCCTTCTCCACTCGCTTGCTCCAGACTAACAGCAACAGCAATAAAAAAAAAAAATGATGCAATTGTGTGTCTGTTGAACTTCATATAAGCATTGTAAAGAAGGAGAAGGAACTTCTTAAAGAGAGCAATTGAGAAGCATCATATTGCAAAGTCAAATTTCTTGTAACTTATGCTTGATGTATATATTTTTATAACAACTGAAGGTAACATAGTTACTTTGCTTGTGCTATAAAATTGCACCACATGCCTGGAAAATACACCCTCTGAAGAGTGATGAAGGCCTCCTCAGTGTTTTTATTAGCTGAGTCTCAGTAGAATAGGGTAGGTCAAGAAATGCTCTCTTTCATTGTTCAAAATGAGAGTCTTAAACATAGATTCAGAGTGTTGCGCTTCAAGGACTTACCTGTGGTGGTCAAAATAATACATTAAGTTTATTTCACCTGACAAAGTCCCTCAGTTACAGCAAATAGATACAGCGTCCTGACACGGACTTCACTGGGGAGAAATACTGCACCATTTTAATAATGCTATGCAGCACCCCTAGAAAGGATTGCTTGCAGAGTAACAGCAACTTTTTTTCTATTTTGGAGGTACAGATGTGCAAAACCTTGCTTCTCTGCAAGGTTCAAAGTGTCCATGAGTTAAAATATATTTTATATTTTTACCTTTTGCACTTACTCTGCAATTTACCACGTTGTGTGACAGAAAAGAATGATACAAAGCACACATTGTTCCAAAACACAAACTTGTTTGCCTTTTTTCTTCCTCTTTAAAATAAAATATCAACACTTTATCCTGGTGACTTAATCTCACTGCATTCTCTCCACCCTGGTAGATTTTCTAAATGACAGGAAAATGTGAACAGTTTGATTGATCCAGTATTCACACAGCAAGCAGGCTCCGTCATACCACCCACAGCGTTTCCATTTATTTTTCAAAGAGCGGCCAAAACCTGGCTCATGCTGTGAGGATGACAAACAAGCTGTTGAGAAACTGACCATAGATTACCGTTTCAGGCTCATTGTTGTTTGTCAATCTATGGCATGACAACACAGAAAAATGATCATTAATTAAAAGAAAATTGTTTTATATAAATTTTAGTGGGTTGTGTCCAGACTGCATTGCTACAACAAACACATGGCATTGTTACAAGAGGCTGAATGAGAAATAAGATCACCTCATTTGCATGTTCTTATTTCCAGGAGGCACCAATTTTACACTCGGTAGATGGATCCTTTCACTGTGGTACTGAGAAGGAACAAAGCAGTAGATCAACAGAGAAACTCAGAGCAACCATGCCCTGTAGGGAGTTGCTGTCATTTGTATGTAGGAGTCATGCCGAAGGGAGAACACAAAGCTCACAGAGCATTTGTGCCAATTCATCCCTTCAGTAAGTCACATTTTTTCTAAAGATTGTGTTGCGACTCTGTTGAACTGTGTAAACTGCATAGAAATTCGCAGATGAGCTCCCCATGTTGTGGCTCAGGGTGTTATGATCCTAGAGCTGTTAACTATCATCTGAGAAGGTCTCAGGAAGTCAGACAGGGTCGACTCCTCAAGGATTCCTATTATGACTTGTGTCAGTGGACCTGACCTGCACTATCAAAGCAACAATTTTGTTTTTGAACTTTTGGGAAATTGGTAAAAGCAGAGATGTTTTGCTGCACTCAGTGTGGTTAAGGCTGAGTTTAAATGTGGAAGAAAAACAGCCGTTTAACACACAAAGATTTCTCCTGAAGGCATTTACTCTTGGCAGGTGTGCAAAGAGGAGCTTTAGTCACAGAAAACCAAGATGCAATATCCTCATAAACACTTCTAAGATGTTTTAGCTTTTAAAATCTGCATTGTTAAATGTATTTGTATTTATAAAGCATGAAAAAAACCCAAAAACTGGTGTTCAGCAAAATACTGTACTCTAAAGTCATTAAAACAATGTTTGAGTTTGCAGTTTCCCATAGCAGAAAATGACTCACCAGATTGCAACGGGGTGGCATGCAATTATTAAAATAAAACTACCCCATTGGATGTGGGTTTTATTGAATGTCACATAAACCGTTATTCTCTTCATTAGGAAGGGAAATATTTAAACATGAAATAACAAGAGCACCCTGCCACTCCCTCTCATTGCCAGACTGTTTTTAAACTCAAATCTAATCATGAATAATAATGACTTCTGCAACAACAGACTGATAAGAAAATCTAGAAGCCTTGTGACTGCAAATTATTACCAGTTCATCTGAAATGTACATCTATTACTACTTTTTGTTAATGCCACATAGCAATTATGGTCATGAAGGAATTTTTCAAACATCCTTAGAAAGACCCATTTAACTTTTATGGATCACAAATCGAATTTATCTTATCAGAAATGTTGACAAAGGGTGATTATATCCTAATGCCTATACTGCATACTGGCTGTGTGTTTCAATGGCAAAAGAAGATATGGTGCCTTAGGGAAAGAACACTGTAACATCAGCTTTCTACCCATTAAATACTATAGAAAACAGAATTTGACACCTAACCAAGGCAGCCTGCCATTGATTGTTCTCACGTCAAAACATTCTGTCTTGAGTGTTGCAACTCTGCAATGCTATTTATACTGCATTCAAATGCAGAATTTACACAATTGCTATTCTAATGTTGAAGCAACGAGCAAAATAATGACATGAGTTAATGCCATGTGACAGCATGGAGGCACTTCACCCATTATTGAAAATTCACAGATCTCAGTTTAATACTTGACACAGCTCTTACGCTTTGGTTATGCCAGCTATTAGTTATTTGAGCACTTCAGGTCAATAAGCACCCATCCCTACATCCCAGGGGTCAACCACCACTTCATCCAAAAATGCAAAAGAAAAAGAGACATCACGTTGTCCTGTGAAATCTACACCTTTCCCCCCAGTATACACACACTATACAAAATAGAAACACAACACACATGCTTTGAAGGCATGACAGCTTCTCATTTGTTCATTAGAAAGACAATTTTTGAAGCCACTAAATAACAAAATGTAATAGTAAAGTCTGTAAGGTTATACACTTCAAAACTGAAAAGATTTCAGGGAATTTTAAACATCTTCATGGCCATCCATTTTGTTTTCAATCATTGTAAGGCTGAATAGATACCAGTATTTGTTGATATGGCCTGATGCTGTTTCAAATGTTCCCTTTGATGCTTTAGAGAAGTATTTTGAAACCGCTTGACACCTATTTGAAAAATCAGGTAGGTGTCAAGAACTAAAAATTCAGTTCTAGTGACAGTGTCAAGGTCCATACTGTCCTGTGAGAAATATGTAAAGATGTTCCCCTCAACAGTTCTGCATTGTTTTGAAGAGACCATGGATTTGAAACTAGTTACTGGACTAAAGATCCAGTCTATCCACCTCTAAACTCATGCACAGATGCATGCAAAAGAAGATACAACTGTTAATATAGTAGATTATTACATAATATTATATTATTTTTTATCTTTGTATTTGTTGCTTTAAAGTTTAACTTTTTAAAAGCTTACATAGACACCAAGCCTAAACGTCAGCCCCGAGTCTGCCAACTTGATAAATGGCAGACTAAGGGGTCCTAGACAGAGTAACAGCAGGTCCAGACAATGGCCACGTGTAGTATGCTGAGGATATATTGTATGTGTATGGATATGGTTATGAGGGATGTACTGCCGATCTCACTTTTTTGCTTTTATGTTTTTTCTTTTTTCTTTTTTGTGTATTTATTCATGGTTACTGTCCTTTTGGATGGTCTTTTTATTGTTGTACTGCAGTTTTGTCCCTGCTTCCAAGATAAATTTCTCCTATGGGAAACTAATAAATTATCTTATCTTATCTTATCTTTGGGCAACTAAACGGGAGTTATTCTGTTGGTTTGGATTCTGGATATTGTGACTAGAGATACTCCTCTATTATTAGACTTCATATTACATGGGTAAATTAAATTATAAAGACTTCATGCTAAATATTTTTTCTGGATACTTTAGTATTCACAATTTCTAGGTTTTAAACAAATCAGTGACAAATAGATTTACTTTCTGAGATCTCTCTGATAATAAAATACTCTATCATGTGTTTCAGTCTTACATTTCACATGGAAATAAAGCTATCAATGGAAGGCTTACAAAGTAATATGATGTGCATTCCTAGTTTTTACTTTGTTTTCTTTTTATGTCTAGAAAAATAACAGGAAAATGAAGCCTTTAAAAATCACAGCAAGCCTCCTCCTGCTTCTTCAAGCGTTTCACCTGGTATGCCTGCAAAATTCAACTGACTCTCCGGGACGCACAATTGATAAGACCTGGCTCCGCAAGCTGGACTTCAGAAGTGAAAATGTTGACTCTAGCGGAGACGGCGGATTTGATCAGGGAGCTGATCAGGCAGCAGCATTCAACAATGGCTTGAGCAGCGGAACAACATCTGGCTTCATGACTGAAGAAGAGGAGAATATGACAAGCCAGGATAAGAATGCAAATTCAAGTGATTTCAGCACAATCATGTCCCATGCATTTGAAAATGAAACAACTGAAGAACCAAAATTGCCAGACGAAGCCATCTCTCCGAGAAATGTGACCACAGAGTCTGCAAACTCAAGCCAAACCAACATGACGGACCCTGAAGAGGAGTTTAACTCAACTACGACAGCAGACAACACAACTAGCGCTCCAGGCCTCTCCAATGATATTAACTTACAGTCCACAACGACCACGGAAAAACCTGCAACAACAACAACAACCGTAACACCTGAGGAAGATGAAGGATCGAGAAACCTGACAGAAAATACCAACACAACTATGACAACCACGGCAGCACCACAGATGAACAGGTCAACCAGTAAAACCACAGCAGCACCGGAGCTAAATAGGCCAACCACTATAATAACCACAGCAGCACCAGAGATACAGGGGTCAACCACCAAATCTTCAACTACAACTGAGCCACCATCTGAAACCACACAAACAAAATCTGAAACCACACAAACAAAGTCTGAAACCACCACCACTGCAGTTTTAGACACACCGGATTTGGCTAACAAGAAAATTGCAATCGGCTCGGATCGGGGTTCTGTGACAGACACAGGTATGGCAGACTGCGAAACATATTTCAGAGTTGAAAAATTAATTCTTGTATTTGTGCCTTTCTAGTAATTAGTTTAATACTTATTCAGGAATGGATAGCTTGGAAGAAAGCAAAAGTAATTCTGAAAAATCACATTAAAGATAAAGTTTTAGGTTTTCAGTGTACTTTTGACACACTTCGTCTTAAACTTCTGGTACATAGATTTAAGTTGGAGTCCTTAAATAAAACAATAAAAAGAAACTTAGACCACAAAAAAAAAAAGATTAATAAACTAAAGCATTACAAATATTTAATGTGTTGTGAAAAAAGTATTTGCCCCTTACAAGTTTCTTCTGTTCTTGCTCTGTAGTTGCAATGTTTACTTTATGATATCAGACTGGTTCTATGTAAGTGTTGTCATAAATCCACCTAATTGACAGTGACTGTTAATTCTTCATTGAGGTGGGTTTAGAAAGTTTTTCTATATGAAAACAGAATGGAATTTGGTTTTTGTTTTTACTTAGGTTATTCCTATCTGACATTGGAAATGTATTATCTGAAATCTGAGAGAAACAAAAGCAAAAGAAATCTGTGAGGATTCAAATACTCCACAACATTACAATGGTCCAGCCCAACTGCATTTTGGACCCAGTAATGTTTGTGAAGCAGTTCAGAAGATTGGCTTAAGTTACATGGATTGTGAAACATTCTTGGTGTGATCAACCCTATGATGCTTTACTGTTTTTTTAATAAATTGCAGTTTTTATTTCATGTTGGGGGATAGTTGACTAGTTTGCCAGACAGAAATCCTGTTTTTTTCCTCAAAAGTAAGTATTTATATGTACTTAACTCATCCTGATTACAAGAGTGACATCTTTTAAACTTTTTATAAGGCAAACACTAATTTGTGAGGGAAAATAGCATGAAATCTTTAATGTATTCTGTGAGATTTGCTCCTTATAAGCACATTTATCACAGTTGCATGTTAACACACTGGGTATTTCCGCCCTTTCCCTGACCCACATTTGGCTCCATCTCTTTTCCCACTGGCAAAGGACAAATGCTCGTTCTTTCAAAGGCAGAGGTTGGATTGAGTTTCAGGTTTTATCGATGGAGCTTCTAAGGGAGAAAGGGTCTGTTACAGCTCCCCTCTCAGCAGGACAATGAGACCCTGTTTTAGCTGCAAAAACAGCCTGAAAAAAGGCAGCAGAGGGCTGAATTTAAAGATGCCTTTCACTTAATGCAGGAGCGTGAGACTAGCTTTGTGGTGTCGACCTCCAGATTTTGAAGATTTGGGAGTGGGAAAGGCTGCATGTCATACACATTTGTGCAATTCAATCTGAGATTTTGTGTTTTTTTCTGTTAAACCACCTGGAAAGGTACATGTGGGCAAGCTCAGTGAGAACAAAATGGCCAATAAAGAGTAGGCACAGGGTTGGATTTTAAATAAAACTTGCATCCCATGGACAGATGTGACAGCAAGACATAACACTAACAAATGATGGCAATAAACGGTAGGAAAACAGTTGTGAAACTGTGGGCGAGCCAGAAGCAGAAGAAAAAGAAAAAAAGAAAACATTCTCCACAGTTACCATGACAGGCACAGCATGCTCACAGACAGCATACAATGACTCCCACCATGTTCTAGAGATAAACAAAACATCTATAAATATGCAGGTAGTATAATACTTTGCTTTCTCTGACCTCAATAAATGGAAACACCCACATAATCCTTGGTGCTAGATTTCACTTAGCCACAGTGGATATTACACTGTACAGCTGGCTTCAGGATAAATGCTAATGTCAGTTATGACTTACACTTACTTGATTTATACACCTTTAGTGGTCTCACTTTGCTCATTCACTCAATTTAATCCCCTGTGCTTCACATTATTTTTCAAACAAGTGACTGTAAGTTCAGATTATTTTACTTCTAGGCTAAGAAACCAACATTCGGCAAATTGCTTAATGTGATAACCATTGCAAAGAAAACCCTGGCATATTTCTCGATATAATTGCTTTGATTATTAGATCATAATAGTTTACAGAACCAAGTTTATGCTGCTAGTATGTAATCTAAACTTAATTAGACTACTTTTTATTAATAAGTTTGAATGCCTAAAATGTTGACATTTTTAAGTTTTTACTGAAGACGATAAAACAAATACACAGACATCAGTATTTGATCAGCAGATTAAAGGAAAAATGTCTGAGTTTGATCTTCGGCTATTTAACTGCTGCATTCCTACTTCAGTATTGTTGAAAGAAATGATCGTTTTTTTTAATTTGTCACCGTTTTATAGGACTCCAGTGCCAAATGACCACGCACATAACATTTCCTGATAGAATTGCACTCTTTAAGAAAAAAAATGAATCACTAATTTTATTGTCATATTGAAATATAGTGGCCTACGTGTGTCTGCTTTCATTGATACACCAATAAGAATGAGGAAGGCTATCCCACACAGCTTCCTAGAACTCATCATGCCAGTATGTTGTTTCTGCTTGATGTTCTGTGTGAGCCACAGCTTCCTTTACTTATATGGATTCTAATATCTGTGACCAATAATGAACTGACATGAACTGAGAAATGTCATCCAAGTGCTACTCAGGCTCCATAAACCTTATTCAGATGATGAACGCAGCATGGCACCTTAACATATTCAAATGAATTCAGAAAATGATCGTGATTTTTGGCATGTTAATTGCATTAATTATCACAGTGTAAATTCTGCAATTCTGCCTAATTAGGATGTGTATCAATGCAGTGGGCCAACACATTTTTCAAAAACACATTTTCAGCCCTAATTATGTGACAATTATCCCTCAAAGATGGGAGTTGATATAAATCATTTAATTGTTGACAAATTATTTATAACTCTTTCCCACCCACACCCATACCCCTCTTTTCTCTAATGAAGATTCAGTAGTGGATCCTTACAGGAGTAAGAGGAGTGTGGCTTGGTTGGCTGTGCTGGGAACAGCAGCTGTGACAGCCGTCGTGGGATTGGTGGCCTACATCATTCTGAAAAAGAAACATCAGAAAGCTTTCACTCACAGAAAGCTGGTGGAGGAGTACCCTTCAGATCCAGGTAGGTTAACCCTAAGACTCCTGCTGAGGAGACTTTTTCCATGTGGGAGATAAAGCTTTTATTCACCAGAGCCTGCAGGAGAGGTGGGACCCCAAGGAAGACTAAGCAACTATTACAAATACAACTTCTTTCCAAAGTATTTATACTAATTTAAAAAAAGTTTTCATATTTCATCCCTCATGGCCACAACTATATTTTATTGGGATTTTAAGTAATTGGACATTATGTATTTTTAAGTAGTAAGAACATTTTACACATTTAACTTTTTTAAAAGTTAAAATCTGAAGTGCACAATGCCCAAATTATTCAGTGTTATTTTTAAAAATTTACTGCTTTCTCAGCAGTAAAACAACCTGCTGAGATATCAGCAGATGAGATAGGTCCTAAATAAGACAAATGTCTTATTTTGAGACATTTGTGAGGTCTCTAAATAAAATAAATGGGTTTTATTTAGAGACATCAAAATAACTGAAGTTGAATACAAATATTTGAATAATTATTTAGATTTCTATTTAATGAAGAAATTGGAAATAATGTATTGTTTCGCATCAATTTCACATCTAAGCTCTACATTGTTTATTCCCTTCATACATCTGTAATGTGACAGGATGGGAAAAAATTCCAAGAGTGTAAATATTTTTGCTTGACACTGTGGATAAATAGATGGATGTCCATCTGGCTTATGACTTTCAACTTTAGAATAAATGTTGAAATAAAATTTTTGCTAGGCCAGATGTCCAAGTTATTACTTCTTAATAGTGCACATTTAGTTTCCCTGATAGTTTTTATGTTCATTCATAAACTAGTTTCCATAAGTTCCATAGATTCCTTCCATAAATTGTTGGGAGACATGATACATAGCCAATTAACACCTGTTAATGAGAGAACTTTGGATGTGCTAGCTGGCAGATTTTACTGCCTCCAGACTGTACTGTAAAGGGCTGATGTTTGGAGCTGCATAACTCATCCTGCTTTAATAAGATAACCCCTCCATAATGAGGAAACCTCACCAAGCAAAATAGAGTCACGTAATAGGATAGTGAACAATCTGTCTCATTCTTGTCATAAGCATTGAGATACTAGGTACTTTGTCAGTCACAGTTTCCCCTAAGCACCCTCATATTTAATCTCACTGTAAAGCTCAGAGCAAAATTAAATGGCACAAGAATGCAGAAAGCATTTTTTTTCTTCAACATGCCCGCAAGCGTATATTCATACTGTATATAGACATTTTGGGTTGTGGTGACAGGTCATTCTTTCTGTAGTGCACACAGATTACAAAAGTCAACTGGACTTTGAGCCATTGTAAGTGCAGAACTGTACTGTTCTTTTCACAAGAAATCTTGTTAAGAAAATATAAAGCAAAAGCTTAAGTGAAGAGTCATATTAAGAAATAATATGATACGTTAATCTGGTACAATATATTGATAATAGCAATCTGTAGACAAATGTACTGCATAAATGTCAATAATGAGTTACATTTTTCTTGTACATACAAAATATTGTTGCTCATATTATTTGTGTTTTATAATGTTAATTCACACGCTCACATGATCTAAATATAATAACTTCCTTCTTTCTACAAAGCAAATGAAACCAATCTCCACAGAATTACTGTGCCATAACTAAGTATTGGCTCCAAACATATTTCTATTTTTGTTCCTGTTTTACAACTAGATATTTCAGATCATGAAGCAACTTTTGACAAAGATAACAATTTCTTAGCAAATAAATATTTAGATTTGGTTTGGATTTTCAATTGAAAATGACATTCCGTGATTTAACCTGTGATTTTCTAATTATCAGTCCTCAGATTAGACAACTCTGAACCTTTGGACCTGAACTATCGCAGTTTAGCTTACTACAACCCAGGACTCCAAGGGGACAGCATTCAAATGACCAATATTCCAGGACGACGCTGAAATCTAAAAGGACTCCTTGGACCAACACCTAGATGCACGCCAGAAAGAAATTCAGAAAATTTTGTTTTTTGGGGGAAAGAAGAATCTGAAGTGTTGGGGAAAAAAAAAACTGTTGTTGAGTGGCGCTGGCTAATGGGAAAAAGGTATACATTTACAATAAACTATGTTTCAGATAAAAATCATGCATTGTAATTGCTAGCCAAAATGAACTTTCTGCCATTTAAGTATGTTGCCAAAGGGAATCAAATGAAGGCTTTCCAATTTTCAACACTTTAGATTTGCTTTGATGAAGGATATAAAAAGGTTGTATGACTTTTTAGTGAGTATTTTGAAGACAGAATTTTTGAAGCTGAAGAAAAAAAGATTGAGAATTTGGCTCCTGCCAGTTTAAAAAAAGGGAGAAAAAAAGCTTGCTGTTTTCCTACTTCTTAAATACCAGGTAACTCTGCTGAGACATTTGATACAAAATTCAGAGACCTTGATGAACAATAAATTTTTGTTTATCATTAATCACCTGCTGTTACAGCACAACACAGGACATTACAAGTCCTCTTTAAACTTCAATTTGAATTATTTGGTAACTGGCAGTCACAGGCTGAGTTTGTGAATTAACCTGACTAAATAAAATGATTGAGTTTGTTTTCTGCACTACTGAAGGAGGCGGAGGAAAGCTGGAAGCCGTTTTGTTATTCATGGAATGATTTTATTTCTTAAGGGGAGTTGTGTACTTATTTTTAGCACTTTTTTAGTTCCAACATATTGCACTTTTCAAGTCTTCCAACCACTAGGTGTCTGAGCAGAGATCTGATATAGCATCAGCAAGGACTTTAGAGAATTAAGTAGCATTTACCTGCTTCATAAAGCAACTAATATTAATCCTTCTTGTTCTCTTTATGCTTCAAAATGGACAAGGGGGCCTGTTAAAAGATAAGCATCTCTTTTAATAATATATAGATGCTGTTTTTGCCCTTTCACAAATCACATCTTTTTACTTTTATACATACCTTACATATAAACAAGATATTTGAAAATGTTTTGATTAGCTCCTTTCTATTTCCTTTGCTGTTTTTTAAAACTTTGGTGTTTTACGTCAAAATAAATTTTTCATCATAGCTGTCAAGAAAAATTACTCTCAAAATAAATGTTTTGGCTCCCTCTACCCTTTCACTCGTCATTACCTGATTGAAATCCGCACTCAATCAATATGTACTGTGAATATGATTGATATGTGCCTTGGCTCAAGTTGGGAAAGTGTGCTGCGATGTTAGTAGATGCAGGAGGCACGGCTGATTTGCTTCCTTCCTCGCCATAATTTCTGACATCAATCAGAGCTGTGGCTTGCTGCTGCCCCTAAAGAATCACCACAATTACTACAGAAATAATAGTGCAGATAGATAGTGGGGAATTTTGCCACCTCTACTTATTAAAATGCTACAGAGCTTGAAAATGCATGTGCAAACAACTAGATGCATAAACATGTTTCTATTTTGATTAATTTTGAATTTAAACACTTAAACAGGATTTTTCAATTTCTTAAACAGAACACAAAAATGTAAAGCAATGTTAACTATGGGAGATTCAGTGAGTTGTTTCATTTTGGAGGGCCTTTCAAAAATATTCGTACTGCTAGAACTTTTTCAAGGTTTCCCACAAAGCTTATTGTAATTTATTTGTTTTTGCGGACTTTTGTGAAGTAAGTTGATGCATAAACCACTAACAGAGCTCTGGCTTTATGTTTTCAGTCTTTTTACAGAAGGAACATGAACCCCTATCTCAATTAGAAATGTTTTTGAAACCTCAAATCATTTCCCTCCAGAATTTTACAGTTTGTAGCCCAAATGTGACCAAGACCTGCCGTCAAAAGTTGCTATCCTGCAATTTTTAGATGAATTCCTTCTGCAGCAGACTTGGATCAGCAGACCTTGGATCAGTTGAATATTGAGTAAACTTTAACACCTACTCAAATCAATTAACGGATTTCAATCCTGTTGGAAAGCATATAAACATTTATTTGGGAGGTATAGACAGGTTAATTTACACTTCCAGCTAAGCAAAATTAATTGAAACAAAATTAAATGATTCCTATCTAGATTGAAGCTGTGTCTTCAGTTTATTGGCTTCATTTGAATTCATTATTCTGGAGATAACTTGCTGAAAATTAGTTTAACCTACAAGCCAAACCTTTTGTAACACTCAAATCAGTGTCTATCTAATGAGCCTCTGAAAAACAGTTAAGTGGTCAACAGAGCATCATGCTGGAAGTCTTATTTTTAATTAACATAAGGTCTTCTCATTGACTTCAAAGGTGGAAAATATAAAATCAAAAACTAGTTTCTCAAAATTGGTTTTTAAGATACCCATTGCTGCATATTTCATAGTTCTGCTCTCAAATTTCTATGCACTTCATAAAGTCACCTAAAAACTGCTGTACTTACTTCCATTTTAAAGTTCAGAGACTTTAGTAAGTTAGCAAGTCCTTCATTTTGTGATTTGACTTCAGTATTCCTGCGATTTGTTCTCACTTTCTGTGACAAAAGACGTGTTGGTTTAATTTATTTTCTAAGACGTGCAGCATGCTCACCAGGCAGGTCTCATATCTAAACCTCAACAAGGTTCAGTCGATGAAGCCAATTAGTACAAAGAAGCCATCTACCTCCATCGCTGAGAGGCCATTGGGGACATGTGGGTACGTAAGGGATCGTGACTTACATTCAATTGGGAGAATATATCTGTTGTGCACAGCGCTGTTCTCCTGACACTGCTATCCAAATGAGTCAAACATAAAAAACTTCAGACCTCCTACTCAGCATGTCGGCAACGTCTTTGAAGCCATAGGCTTAAAGCAAGAAGCTTTTGCTGATTTGAGTTTCTCGTGGATTCTGATGTCACCTGGTATGACAGCTTTCACAGAAAGCAGCATTAATCTTCTACACTGAAGCAGATATGATTCATCCATTGTTTCATAAAAAACATGTCAAAGCTGATGCAAAATATGATCAGACAGATTCTTCTGTCGGCCATTTTATCTCCTGTTTCTTTCACCCCTTTAATTAGACTTAGCCAACAGAGTTTTAATGTCGTAAGGGGAAGAGTACATTTCAGTCTGCATCGGGAAATTTATGTTACTGGTGACAAATGCAGCTGCTGCTGCTTTCCTATCCCTTATTTAATATAATGAAAATATTTGATGAGTTTAGACAAGTATGTCAGGAGGGGAAAAAAGACTTAGTGCCGTGAGATGTATAGAGATGTAAATGTTTTCATTAGCATCCACAAAAAAACATGGATTTTGCTTGATTTGCTGCTTGTTTTGTGAGAAATATGCCGAAATGTTGTGTTGCTAAGTTTTGTGGCTATATTGAAGAGTGTAAATATACACAAATCAATCAATGTATGTAATTTCTCCTAACGCCAAAGCAGCATCCCTTTGCTTCAAGTGTCAATTCCAGTTGCAGCTCTTTGAACTGCTACAAATCCATGTCATTCAAATATGAGAGGGTGTAAACAATTCACCAAGTTATTCTCAGACAAAACACTAAGGAGGAAGAGAAAAAGGTTAGACTTTAACAGCAAAAACGGCATTGGCTAATAGCTATGTTGTCCTGTAAATTAGCTTAAGATCACTTCATTTAGTGTTATTGTTACAAGTCCCGAGTGTCAGTACTGCAATAACTATGATGTTGCACAATCTGAAGGATAATAAAATAGAAGTAAGCAATGATGACAGAAGTGCTGCAGTTAGCATCCAGATTGCCTTTCTCTTTATTTGTTAAACAAACCTTTTATGGTGTACAATAATATATTGTTTTACATTACCATGGCCTAGTAAACCTTTTCTCACAGGTAATAATTAACTTCACACATTACTCTTTTCACATTTCTATCCTTCACTTAGGTGAAGACAATCACAATATGTGTATCAAACAGGATAAATCCACCGTTTTCAAGCTTTTCTGCATTTAGTTCTTTGTTAACTGGCATAAGCATTAAAATTTTAACTGAATACTGATCAAAAATAGAAGAACAAGACTTACAAAACAAATATACAGAAATTAACTCAGCATTGTTTCAAATTTAACCTCAATTCCCAGACTTCATGAACAAAGAATGGTTTCTTTACCTTTAACTTTTGCTGGACTCACTTTACTCTTATGCTCTGAGCTTCTTTAAGAGTCAACAAGTAATTTGAGCTGAATATTATTCAAACAAAAGCAAAATAAAAGTCCTACAACCTGGAGTTAGTAAGATACCACAGCCTTTTAATCACCTTCCTTTGCGGGACTTTCCCAGCATACTGCCAACTTTACCCTCGCCTGATAAAACTGGCAACTACTGGCAAAATAGTGGACAGAAACTATAACACAGTGCTATACATTGTTCAACTAATTTACAGAGCAGTTTTGGTATGTTTTCACCGTGTACTGACCTGAAAGATAATAAAATAGAAATCAGCAGTGACAACCAAAGCGTTGCATCCAGATTGCGTTCAAGGCAAATTGGAACTCCGCCCCAAAAATCAATCTGGAAGCAACGACCCCCAAACAAAGGCTCCGCTTCGCCACTACTACTCTCATGCCAACCTCAGGAAAGCACTATAGATGCAGGCTGTATATCATGCAATCAATATATAATTTGTTCATTTTTGGATAAAGTAGAATACATTTTACATGAAAATATTTCAAAATTATAAAATAACCTAAATAATGTGGTGACATTTTTAGGTGCACCACATTATCATAAATGAAGAAGGACAACAATCATTCACAGCTCAATTCCCTTTTGATTTGTAGACACACTAGACAGAGTTTGTGGGCATTGCTCCAGAAGACCTCATGCTGTTTAGTAAGCTCAATCTTCTCCAATATTGTGGCTTCTTCATGCGCCTCAACTCCCCCTCATGTGTCCAGACTCCAGATAACTGTATAAACATTCTTTGAAGCACTTTGCAATATTCTGGCTATACTTCTCCGTCTTGCTATCTTTATGGCAGAAACCCATTATAATGCCGTATTTGCTGCTGGACTGAAGTCCTCGCATTCTGTTGTTCTCAATCCATAGTTGGAAATTGTCTTTTTCCTTGCTATATTTTCGTTCGGTATCTTTCAAAACCAGTGCATCAGCTGTTTAACTAAATCCAGCAAATTTATTCTTAAGTCACTGAACATTTATACTGTAATCATGTTCCATAAACATTTGATCATAAAGCAAAGACTCTTTGCCATTGGCTCGCCGGCTGTGAAGGTAGCGCAGAGAAAAAAAAATACGGAGAATCAGATGTAGTACGCAGAAGTGTGCCTGCTTTAGATATTCTAGGAAGAAAGCCGCCACCAGATGAAGAGTCCCTTTACACATCTGAATGTTTTTGAGGAACAAATTACCTCTGGGGATACCATTACAACTTCCCAAGACATGAGTCTGAAGACAACAAAGTTGTCCTGCTGTGTAGTTCTTTGTCCTTCATAATACTCGGTGGAATCCTTCACGAATGCAAAGAAAAATTGTATCCTTAAGGGACTTTGTGTCTCATTTTCACACCTGTGAGTCAGAGGAGGTTGATTATAAATGGGATGGAAGATGAAATGCAGTGTGTGCAGCAGGTATGATTTATGGCACAGCAGCCATAACTACATTTGGGGCTGCAAAACATGGTGGAAGGATGCCATAAACACAAAACCCAAAAGTCGATTGGTTTCCATTGCAAAGTCTTCCCTTCCTACATGGATACTTGAAAAGTACTTTATCTAAACGTTTTCATTTCACGTACAGAAACTTCGCCCTAGTCGAAGTATTAAAGATACTTTATATTTCCTGAAACAGTTTTTTCACAAGGTTATTACATCTTGTTTATTTCAGCTTTTCTGTAATTACACATTTAGGTTTACAATTTGTTTTTCCACCAGTAAGCTTGTTCCTGATTAGAAATTAGAAAAAACATCCCTCGAGAGATAACACAACAGAAAAGGAGAATCAGTTTAAAAAAAAAATAATTTGTTGGTACATTTTATTAAAAATGACCATTCTCACCAATAAAAAAAGATCATTTTTAATGGCATTACAGCAATGACGTCTTTATTATAATTGCTGACCAGCTTTTTGCATATTTTTAACACTGAGACACAGAACAAAAAAATCATTCACACCAACAACTCATTTTTATTC